ATATATATATATATATATATAAAAAAGCCCAATTGCTCCTAAAAACTACCGCGGGAAAACCGCGGACTTGGCAACACTGCGAAGTTGCGCAGGCGCTGTGAGGGGGAAACAGGAACTGAATTCACCGGAACACCGGAAGCGCTGCTGTGACGTCACGGGCAAACTCAGCTGGGCGATCAGTAAACAAACATACTGAAACATCTTCATCACAATCATCACCATTATCACAGAGTGTCTGTTGTCATCCGGCTGCAACAGGCTTCTTTAACTCGTCCGATCATTCCCGGTAAGTGCAGCGACAGCTGAAGTGTTGCTCATGCACAAACTCACAATATCTACTGTACTGTCAGATTATATAACGACCACACACTGCTGGCAGCTCAATCAATCACACTCAGCCTTTGTTCGCATCATTTATACTATCGTATTTTTTATTTGCACTTTCTACGAATATCATGTTTACTGGAGGAATAAATACAGGCCACTATTTACAGTTAAATGATGTTAACATTATGTACCAATATACATTTTGCCAATCGTAGTTTGTCTTTCTATTTTGAGTATAAACTCGCCATTGCCCTTAAAAATTGTAGTGTTTTAGATTTTTTCTTATTAACGTATCATTTTGACCTAGTTCTTGTTTATCTGTGGTTATGAAATGTGGCAGACAGGACTTTGTTTCCTGTCAATCAAAGTATGTTTACTTTCTCTTGTCATTGTGGTGTGATATATGTTTGTCATATTTACTTTCTATGGTGACTAATAACAGTTGATGACACACACAGGGTGGGGAAATTTCTAATGTCTCTCCCTGTTCTTTCATTTAGCAGCAGTGTGGGACGTCACACAAAAATGTGAGCAGGTTCACTTTCTGTTTGCATTTTTATATCAAGATGGCTGATGACTTGGTCTCCTGCACGGCTGGAGCACGAGGAGCCGTTCACTCCACTCAGCCCTGTGCCAAGCAGAAATACCGCAGTAATGCCCATTCACAGGGACTGTTAGACGGGCTCCTGATGCTGCGACAAGGAGGGATTCTGTTTGATGTGGTGCTCTTGGTAGAAGGAAAAGCTATTCAGGCTCACCGCATTCTCCTGGCGGCCTCATGTGACTATTTCAGGTATGTATGACTCTCCCCAAATGTTTAGGGATGAAGGAAGAAGATTTAGGAACTTTGGAAGATTTTAAAAATATTTTTAAAGAAGTCTCTAATGTTGATTGTGCCTCCTTTCCTCTCTGTGTTTAGGGGCATGTTTGCCGGCGGTTTGCGGGAGATGCAGCAAACTGAGATCCCCGTCCAAGGAGTCACATACACGGCGATGACCAAACTGCTGGATTTCATCTACACCTCCGAGCTGGAGCTGGACCTGGACACGGTACAGGAAGTGCTGTGTGCGGCCACTCTGCTGCAGGTCCAAGATGTGATCGGCTTCTGCTGCGACTTCCTGTTCTCCTGGCTGGATGATGACAACATCCTGGAGGTGGAAAAGCTAGCTGACATCTACGGGCTCAACCAGCTTGGGGAAAAAATTCGCTCATATCTGCTCAAGAACATCCAGACCTTCTCACGTACACCAGTGTATCGAAAGCTTCCTCCGGAAAAGATCCTGAGTGTGCTTTCCAGCAACGATCTGGAGGTGAACTCAGAGAACGAGGTGTATGAAGCAGCCCTGCACTACCATTACACTCCTGAACAGGTGGAGAAGGATGGGGTTTGCTTACAGGTGAGAAACAGATGGGTGGCCACTGCAGATATGACATCCCTGCATCTTGAAAAAATTGTCTGTTGAAGTGTTGATTTGCAGAAAAGGCCTAATATTACCTCATTTGATGATGCTTGGTTCAAAAATATCAATAAGAACTTTGGGCACATTTCATCACATAGCTTAGTTTTTTTCACAAAATATGTGGGGAAAAAGGTTTTTCGAATGAAATATGCTACTGTATGTGTCATTGTTATTTTATTGACTTTTTTATCGTTTAAATCAGTTTTTAGTTTTAGATTTTCTGTTTTCATTTTAATTTTTGTTAAAATTTTAGTAATTTTCTTGTGTTTTGTCATTTTTAGTATTTTAATTTTTATTAGTTAAAATTTAAAATAAGAAATTTTGCCTTGGCAACTAGGTGAAATAAAAAGGTTTTCACATTTTATTTGATTTAAATTAGCATCCTTTTATTACAAGTTACAAAAATGGCTAAAGTTTTAGTATCGGTTTTGGTTTTAGTTACCTAAAATAACCCATGTATCAGCTTTAATCAAAATAACAAAAGCAGTCATATGTCACAAGTTTTGGTTTACTGACCACAAACGTTTGAACGGTAGTATATGTGACCTGGACAACAAAACCAGTCATAAGGGTCAATTTTTCGAAATTGAGATTTATACATCATCTGAAAGCTGAGTATGTTATAGAAAGTTTATATTTCAGGTGCTGATCACTTTTTTCACCATTTTTAATATTCTGTTCACTTAAAAAAATCCAGCAGTAACTTTTTTAGAAAAACAAATATACCAAGTCTTTCAATTATTATGAGGTTATGAAACTGCACGTCTAATAATTATACAATTATACAAATAAATACTGAGAATGCACATGCATCAATGAAGTACTAAACATGAGAGATCAACAACCACTCTGTGAAATCATTTATTTATGTGGGTCAGTGACACATAGAATTGTCCATGATAAAGCAGAAATATTTTAAAAGAACTTCATTCTTCAAATTCAGAATTAGATTTGGATTTTTTTTATGAAGGTTTGTTCAAATATATATGTTGTGTGTAATCAGAAGAATCAGAATCAGCTAATATATATCAGCTTTAATGCATCAAAATAACAAAAGCAGTCAAATGTTAAAAGTTTTGGTTTTATTGACAAAAAGTAGTGTTCAAAATGTGTCATTTATAATCTTCAAACAGTATATTCAAATAATCAATTTAATGTCCAAAAACTTAACTTAAACACATACTTTTACCTTTTTCGTCACAAAAACTGTAATTTTCTGTTGCTGATTTAGTAAAACACCCACTAATGTAGCAGAAAACATCTGGGTCATGTTTGCATTTTCTTTTGTCACTGGCCATAATTCTAACCTTGTTAGAGAAATGTGAAAATCAGATGAGAATTGAACATGTAGTTGTAACCGGCTCGAATCATGTCTTTGTGGCAGTTTTCTGTTGAACGCTACAAAATGCACATTATATTTTGTGAGAGAATGTGATGTGCTCAAGCAAAACAGACACTGTTTTTGGAATTAGCACCCCAAAATTAGCACACAAAAAAAACAAGTATTAGTCTCCCCATTGCCATAGATGTGATTAGTGATATCTATGACAAATCAACTTTTCCTTCAGGATCCGTTGCAGATGTTGGAAGCAGTGCGGTTCTGTCTGATGGAGAAGCATGTGTTGCAGCGCTTGCACAGCCGGTTAAAGCAGTGTCCGCTGCGGGATTCAGTGGCCGCTGCTCTGCGTTACCACAGTCAGGAGCTGTGGCAGCCGGTGATGCAAACCCCACTCACTCAGCCTCGCTGCAGCTCCCAGTGCATCGTGGGATTCGGTGGCATGTATTCATCTAGCGCACTGGTGGACAATGAAGAGCGCTTCCAGGTGTTCCACCCCTCCTGGGGCGAGTGGCGTAGTCTGGCTGCAGATCGCGCTCCTCGCATGTCCAACATGGGCATCGCGGTGCTCAATAACTTTGTGTACCTAATTGGTGGAGACAAGAACACCAGCGGCTTCCGTGCTGAATCTCGATGCTGGCGGTAAGTGATGCTGAATATTAATTTGCATTATGTTTTTACAGATGTTGAAGTGCAACTGTGAATCTAGAACAACTGTTAGAGGGACAGTGCTTATAACTGGTTTATACATGTTACACTGTAGAAGAGAATGAAGAATTTTGTTTTTGCTGTACTTTTACCAAATTTCTCATTTTATGAAATTATGAGTCCTAATTTTTTTAATTATTATATACTTTTATTTTGTTTATTTTTAATATACTTTAATGGGTTTCATTTTTTTTATTATTTCAGTAATTTTTTGTAATAATGTTTTTGAAAGTCAATTATTTGATCAAAAATAGAGTAAAAACAACAATATTGTGAACTATTTTCTGTTGTATTATATATTAAAATGTAATTTATTCCTGTGATGCAAAGCTGAATTTTCAGCATCATTACTGCAGTCTTCAGAGTCACATGATCCTTCAAAAAATCATTCTAATGTGCTGATTTGATGCTCAAGAAACATTTCTTATTATTACAGTGTGACTGGCTTTACATTATTCAGGTTCGAGATCAGAGCTTTGACTTGGCCATTGTAGGACTTTAGATCCTCCCATTTGGCCTTGTGTTTGGGATTACTGGATTTGTATCATATCCAAATCAGAGACCAATATAATCCAATAAGTGCTGATTGGATTATTGGACTTGTTGTTTATCCAAATCTTAAACCATTATAATTGCAAGACCACTCAGAGTTTGAAAGCTTGTCAAACGAAATAAAACTCATTATTCACATAAATTCCATAAGAAGACAGAAACGGCAACAAAAAATATGTGAATCCAGTGTAAGCATAAAGAAATTAAGATGTACATCATCAGTAATATTGTTAATGTTGGGATAAAGGTTAAAAACTGTTTAGAAACTTTTACATAAAACTGGACCTCTGGTTTGCAAATGATTATACTACACTGAACAAAATTATAAACGCAACACTTTTGTTTTTGCCCCCATTTTTCATGAGCTGAACTCAAATATCTAAGACTTTTTCTATGTACACAACAAATAATAGATTAATGAGACCAAAGACTGCCCATTAGATTTACCCAAAATGAATGAATTATATCTCATGTTTAACCACTATAGAGACATCAGAGCCAGCGGCAAATTCCTGAAGATCTGGCCGGGGTGAGGCTGCTCTCGGCGGGTTCATGAGCGCTGAACGGCCGCTGACGCCCTGGAGCTCATAAGTCCGAAAACATTGGGGCAATTTTTCAAATAGACATTATCTTTATTAACAAGCCACATATTTGAAGTCTAAACAAGTACATTCTCACCTAAAAAAAACCTCATAAAACTACATTCTGAGACACAACAAACAGTATTATTTATAAAATTATAGTGGATTTGGACGTCTGCCATGACACTCACCGTGAGAAATACTGCAAGCGGTGTGATACAAGCGGTGAAACCGTTGGAGTGCTGTTATCACTAGAATATCACACTCCTCTCAGCCAATCAGATTCGAGAACCAGAAAATAACTTGTATATATTGTAATAAAATCCTGTTTTTACTCTATTTTTGATCAAATAAATGCATCCTTGGTGAGCAGAGGGGTCTCAATTATTCCAATCTTTTGGCCAGTAGTGCAAGTTGTATTTACATAAGGGCTGCAGCTACCGCAAGAATGTGACATGAGTTTATGAACTTTAGATTTAATGTGCATAATGTATACACACTCTCACATGCCTGTGTCTGCAGGTATATGCCCACGCCGGCGCAGTGATTGATGGGAAGATCTACATAGCATGTGGTCGGCGGGGAATGGCTTATCTGAAGGAGAGCTACTGTTACGATCCCAGCGGCAATCACTGGAGCTTGTGTGCAGAGGGCCCGGTGGAGCGCGCCTGGCACAACTTTTAAGAACATATCTTTGAAATGCAGTGGTTTTCAAAACTGTCCTGGAGCACCACAGTCTCCTTCATCTAGCACACCCGATTCAACTCGTCAGCTCATTATAGAGACTTTGAGAGCTGAAGTGGGTCAGATCCGCGTCATGTTCAGCAGCGGCAGCCAAAATAACCTAATAACCAGCTGCTGTGATGTCTGTTCATCAAAAAACTAAATAAAAAAAAATGAAATCAATAACTTTTGTAGCTTTAAGGATTTGATAACTTTATTCAATTTCTGTATATTCCCTACTTTCTGAAGGGCACAGGTAATTATGACATTTATTATAATGGGTTTATGTGAAGATTGTTTTAAGTTCTCTTAAATTAGAAGTTGTTATTTTTTAAAGTCTAATAAATTTTAAGGATTCATCTATATTTAATTTAGAATTTAGCGTTTGATAACTTTAATCAATTACTATATATTTCCTACTTTCTGAAGGGCAGGGGCAGATAAATATGACATTTATTTTAAATGGGTTTACGTGAAGATTGTTTTAAAAGACCTTAAATTAGAAGTTGTTATTTTTTAAAGTCTAATAAATGTTAAGATTGATAGCTCTCAATTATACTGTAATGTCGAATGGCTATAGTTAATGGTTAAATATTAGGGGGAAAACAATTTCATAGAGACATCAGTAGTTTTGATATCAGTGATACTCGCCTTTAAACAAATATTTTAAAAACAGTTAGGTTGACACTGAGCAGCATTTCAATAAGCTCTATTGTTTTGAAAAGAGAGAAGCTCAATGGGCATTATCCTTCAGTTTGTCCCGTATTAATTCAGCACAAACAGTCAAAAAAGAGAGTGTAAGTGATGCAACAAATGAAATTCTGTACAGCTGAATTTCTATTTGAAGTATAACAATTGAAAAAACAGTAATCGAGAAAAAAAAACACTTTAATAATGAGACAATATTGAATGTCTTTTTAATAACATATTGCTAAAACTCAGGACAATAATATGCATACTAAAATATTTACATAATACATTTTTGATACATCTCTAATTGTTAATTTACATTATTTGTTTGATTCATTCCATTGTTTCACGCCGGCGCAGTGATTGATGGGAAGATCTACATAGCATGTGGTCGGCGGGGAATGGCTTATCTGAAGGAGAGCTACTGTTACGATCCCAGCGGCAATCACTGGAGCTTGTGTGCAGAGGGCCCGGTGGAGCGCGCCTGGCACAGCATGGCAGCACTTAACGGCCGCGCTTATGTCATTGGAGGCAGCAACGATGGTTGCGGTTACCGGCGAGACGTCCTCAAGGTACTGAACTTCTGAAATACCCGCATCGCTGCTTTACAGTTAACAATGACTGCATGTTTTAACACCAGTTATAGCATGGTGTAAAAACTGGGTTAATTAATAAATAAAATTAATTTAATAAGTTAAAGCAAAACCTAGTGAGCTGCCAACCTAGACCACATCATAGGCTTTGCTCCTCAGGTGAAGGATGTTCCAAAAGTCAACATGTGTCAAGGTCCATAAGTCTTTTAAAAAAATTAAAAAAAAACAGATAATTTGACCATTTATGACAAGGCAAGGTTAGTTCAGGTTGTAAAATGTCATGCTGTTTAACTTAAAATGTTTTAACTTTTTTGAGTTCAATAATTAAGATGTGTACACTCATTTCTGTATTCAATATGTAAGGAAAATAAGTTATTAGTTTTACATGATATTACAGCATATGACATTAAATTCATTCAATTGAAACTTTTCTTGATTTTCAAAACCATATGAAACCATGAATACAAACAGTACATTTCTAAAAAACCTGGCACATGTGTTATAAAGTAGATTTTTTTCTTGGACACTCTTATCTTCATTAACCTTTATTTGTTTAATTATTTAATATATATTATTTGGTGCTGTCAATCGATTTAAAAAAGACAAACTAATTAATCACAATTTTGTTTTCTGAAATTAATCGTGATTAATCACACCTAGCATTAAAGTTTTTAAATATACTTTTATATTGCAACAATTTCACATCTTCAAAATAATGTGGAAATAACATAAAGACAGTAATTTTAAAAAAAATATTTGTTTAATGGCATGACTGGAGGCGAGTATCACTGATACCAAAACTACTGATGTCTCTATGATTTTTCCCCCTAATATTTAACTATTAACTATTAGCCATTCGACATTACAGTATAATTGAGAGCTATCAATCTTAATATTTATTAGACTTTAAAAAATAACCACTTCTAATTTATGTGAACTTAAAACAATCTTCACATAAACATAAATGTCATATTTAGCTACATGTGCCCTTCAGCAAGTAGGAAATATACAGAAATTGAATAAAGTTATCAAACTTTAAATTCTAAGTTAAATATAGATGAATCCTTAAAGCTACAAAAGTTATTGATTTAATCTTTTTTCTTTTGTTCTTTGATGAAGAGACATCACAGCAGCTGGTTATTAGGTTATTTTGGATGCCGCTGCTGAACATGACGCGGATGTGACACGCATCCTATTTTCTCACAACTCTTTACCTTTTCTGACCCACTTCAGCTCTCGAAGTCTCTATAATGAGCTGATGGGTTGAATCGGGTGTGTTAGATGAGGCAGACACACTGCTGCTCCAGGACAGTTTTAAAAACCACTGCATTTCAGAAGCATGTTCTTTTCTCTGTTTCCATCACCCTGTTTTTATACGCATTTTGAAGTGATGGAAACGCCACATTTCGAAAATAAATCCCTTAATTCGCAAAAAAGTTTTTACGCTCGCTTGAGGTGGGTTTTTGACTTGTGCGAAAAAGGGTTAATGCGAATAATGGGAGATGGAAACGCATTTTGCGAATAAATCCCGCATGAGCATTCAAAAAATCATGTGACTTTGCGCTATGGCAGGGGCGTAGATTACGCGGATGAGAATTATTATATTCAGTGGCTTCTCTTACTTTTCTTAGTGATATTTAGTGCCAGTTTATCAGGAAGTGACAATTTTGTTCTCTCTGACTCGTTGGATGGAAAAGTTCAATTCGTTATATTCGTAAAATTTTAATTCGCAACTTTGGATGGAAACCCGTATGTCGACTCATGCACAGTTTAAAACGGCTTTAATCGCTTTTTTGGTAATTTCATGATGACATAACTACGACATTGCATGCTCTTAGTTTCTTTTGAGCTTTAACATGAAATGATATAGCCTACCGTAGGGCTATATCGCGCGCCCCTGCATTTGTGTGTGCAATTGAAGAGCACGCGCTACGAGCACAGTATGACGGCTGACAGGACAGAATTGGTATTTACTGATATATGGCCTGACAACATCTCATCTGACCGCAGTTCACTGTTGCTCTACTGAAGCTCCTCATCATTTGTAGCTTTTCCGCGCTCGTTTGATTCACACCTGCGCTGAGGTCTGAAAGTCTCCAGTTTGATGTGTTCGCAAAGACTTTCTGCATCTAAATAAACGCAATTCTTGTCAAGAACAAAAAGAAGTGACAGAAGCAGCAGTTGTGAGTGGAGTGGCCAACCTTAACTCCGCCTCTGCGTTAATTGCGTTAAATATGTTAACTGGAAAAATTTGTCACATGCGTTAATGCGCTAATTTTGACAGCATTAATATTATTTAATATATTGCCAGTATATATAGGTTTGGGGTTGGTACAATTTTTTATGTTTTTGAAAGAAATCTCTTCTGATCACCAAGGCTGCATTTATTTGATCAACAACAACAACAAAAAACGTAAAACTGAAATATTATTACAATTTAAAAATAACTGTTTTCTATTTTAATATATTTTACAATGTAATTGAAATAGAAATATTTGTAACATTTTGTAAATGTCTTTACTGTCACATTTGACCAATTTACTGTTTCCTTGCCGAATAAAAGTATAGATATCTTTTTTTTTTTATCTTGCTGACCCCAATTTTTTTTAACAGTAGTGTAATACATTTAAAAAAATCATTACATGTTAACTTTTCTTGAAAATATACAATACATTTCTAAGAAATGTGAGAACATTTCTAAATTCTAAAATATTTGTCCTTTTTTCCCTACTCATATTTGTCATTGACACATACAGGTACATCTCAAAAAATTAGTTTCATTATCTGTAAGCCATAATCATCAAAATTTCAAGAAATAAAGGCTTGAAATATTTCACTCTATGTGTAATGAATCTATATAATATATGGGTTTCACTTTCTGAAATGAGTGACAAAAAATATTGACCTTTTTCATGATATTGTAATTTTTTGAGATGTACCTGTATGTCATTCAACACTAAAAAGTAAGGAAACGGGCCAATCTTAATTACATTTTTACAATTATTAGGGTATTGGAATCTATTGTCAAGTCTCCCAGATGCTTCATGTGAGGTTGGATCATTCTTCGTGTGGCTCGCCTGCCTATTAAGAGTGTTGTTATGAGGTTTCATTGTTGTTAGCATGCTGCCTTTAAAATCAGCTGTCTATGTGGAGAGTAGACAACAAAGCAGCTCACTATGTTTTGAACCAGAGCCAGTGACTGAGCTAAAGTTCTGTCTGTCTCTATAGGTGGCGTGCTATAACCCAATAGCAGATGTGTGGTCTGTGGTGAGTCCGTTGCCTGCTGGACATGGGGAGCCAGGCATGGCCGTACTGGATGGATGCATCTACATCCTGGGTGGAAGATCGCATGATAAGGGCAGTCGAATGAAGTATGTTCACATTTATAATGCGGAGGAGGACCGATGGGAGAGCGGGACAGCCCTCGAGGACCGTGTATCTGGGCTTTCAGCATGTGTCCTGCTTTTGCCACGAGCAGCCATGGCTCAGGCACGCAGCTGGGAGCAAAGGGCTAAAGCATCATGGGAAGAGGTGGACTGGGATGACTCGGACAACTCAAGCGAGGACTGAAGGTGTTAGCGCTGCTCAGGTGGGGCGTAAAATTGTACTTTATTAAATTGGGGACTTGTATGAAATTCCATAATTCTTTACTAGATTGAGTTCTGGTGGCAATTTCAAATTTTTTTTTTTTTAGATTGAACAGTATGTGTAACTAATCGAAGCCTTTGTTGTGCCTGTCTGTAAGTAACTAAGGGTAAGTTGGAAGTGTTCTGGTTTAGATTATTTCCAAATCGCACTCCTTCATGTTTGTGGGTTAATTTTACTGACTCTTTTAGGTTGTTGTGCCATTTTAGTCATGCTGATGATTTTCGTATTGTTTTACGTCCAAAACTTCACTCAGAACTATGAGAAACTGTTGGAGATGCTAACACTGTACATAGGGCTGGGCGACGAAACGATTGAGTGAAGAACACAAAGAACTCTGTGATTTAAACTAATTTAAAGCCAGGTGAAAGAGCGCTGACAAACAGCAGAAACACTGTGAGCAACGAGACAGTCAGAAAGCTTTTCAATCTACAAATCGCCATCATGGATTTACTGTAGTAACACCAACTGCACCATGGTATTGTGGCAGAAATGTGGGATATTCATATCAAAGTTTATTATATTATTAGACATGTATTAAATGTATTAAAGGAGCAATGGAATATAAGTACAGTGTTTGTTTTGTGATTAAGATATAGCATTCGTGCAATTATAATAAATGCATTTAGACTACTGTTTTGCATACAGATCCCTAGAAACCATATCGTTACATTTTTACCATGGTATTGAGGTGCTATATGTGTGGTATTAACTGTAGTTCTCGTGATGTAAATGTATGCTACTATGGAAGACCAGTGGTTAATATTAGTAAAACTCACAGTCAGAATAATCCCATTTCACCATATAAAACTGAGGTTGTTACAATTTTTACAAATGTTGTTGTTTTTGATAATGAACATAAATTTAAATCTGCGTCCTAACTCAAGCTGCTACCGTCACCTCAAGCTACTCTCAAGTGTGCATTTCTAAAAGACGAAAAAAATCAATATTATTATTATTGCAGCCTACACTGCAAACTGCTGAAGATACAGCAGGCGACACAAACCTGGTTCATGCTTTGAAACAATATCACTCATTAGAACAAGCAGAAACTACGTAATTAAGATGGAAAAATGACTGGAAAAGTGTGAAAAATTCAAAAACGTGAAGTGTTTGTCATGTTCTGATCATAAAGAGTCGTTTAAAACCACAATTAACAGTCTGGTTTCTACAACTTTCACTTAGGAGCAAAAATCTGCCTTTAAACTTAGATCTGAAATTTATCGTGATAATTATCGATATCGACTGATATGAAAACATTTATTGTGATCATTTTTTTGGCCGTATCGCCCAGCCCTAACTGCACATGCACTTTACAAATATTTAGTTTATAATTATGGTGCCTTTATTTTACAGATGTGTTTTGGTAAGCCCAATGCCTTTTTTATTAATAGATATTAATTAAGTGCAATAACGATTTTCAAAAGAGTAAAGGAAATGGTGAAGAAGTGGTAAACAGGATGCTCTAGTGCAGGGGTCGGCAACCTTACACACACATGTACTACCATTAGTGGAGTAAATATTGGCCCAAGAGTTGATCAAATGTGTTGTAAAAGTAGTAACGTTGTAAAATGTAAAAATTTTCTATTTAAATATATATATTAACATTTTTATTTATTCCTGTGATGCAAAGCTGAATTTTCAGCATCATTACTCCAGTCTTCAGTGTCACATGATCCTTCAGAAATCAGTATAATGTGCTGATTTACTGCTCAAGAAAGATTTATTATTATCAATGTTGAAAACAGTTGTGCTGCTTAATATTTAAAATAAAATTTATGTCACAGTGATTATAAATGAAAAATTGCACTTCATGTCAGACAGGTTGCCGACTGCTGTTCTAGTGAATGCTCATTAATAATATGTTGGCTGTCAAGTCACTCCAAAGAGAAATCTTCAGAAAAAAATTGCAAATGTTAGATGAGCTAGTTTAATGTGAACTGTTGTTCAAGAGTTCCTCTGGTGTCTTTTGCAATGTAAAAAGCAATTCTGTTCAAAATTCCTTTGAATATTATGCACTCCTTTTTACTGTTTGCTTTTATTTTCTGTCTTCAACATATCAGACGTATCGCCTCTTTAAACTGTCGTCTAGACATTTCTGATTTGTTTGACCCTTTTGAATGTCATGATAAGGATCACATTAAATCTGAAAATCACTGATTTTCTTATTTTTTTTAATAAACGGTTTTTGGAATATTTAAATATCCATTATATTTGACATGAAATTATATAAATATACATTTACTCTGACTGTAATTGCTAAGACTAATTGTATTTCTTCTAACATTTTGGAAATGCATTACATATTTGAACTGCATTGTTACCATTTGCAATGTCATGTTCATGAATGATCACACTGACAATAAAGATCAACGGATTATACTGTAGTTGTTTGGGTGGCTTTAACGGTTTTGAACAGGGCCGGAGCTGCGAACAGGAGAGGGAAATATTTTTTTAAATAAGCAGGAAATCTGTTTTATAACTGGTATTTGGAAAATGTGACGATTGATTTAGTGACGGTGCACAAGCTGTTTTAACTTCCTCTACAGCAGTAACACGTGCTTGTCTTTTAAAGTCTCCCAGAGGAGCACTTAGAGCCTCACTTCAGAGTTAAAATGGTTTTTACACCGTGAACATTTATGTTCTCTCTCTTTCTCTCGCTCATGCATTCACTTCACTCAGTCATAAAAACCCTTTCAGCGTGTTGTTTGTTTCATTTCCCCTCTCTGATAATAATCATGTATTTCCAGCACATAACAGTCAGGTTTGTATGATGTACATCATGCAACATTATTGTAAAATTGCAACTGTGTAATTGTAAAAGTGGTATGTGATAAACAGTGAAATTATATCATAAAGCAAATGGTTCTGACAAATGCAAAAAAATGTTTTAAATACAACAGTTTCAAATCTACACCTCATCCGTGTTTGAACATTATCCGACAAATGACATTTGATTCTATTATGACAAAAGGATTCTGGGTAGATCTATACAAGATGGCCTAAACAAACGGCAAACTTTAGAGTAGCTATAATAAGAAGCACGCTCTTTTACTTATTATAGAAATAGTATACTCTTAACAGTATATACTTAAGTGCAAACTTAATTGCATGTTATTTACAATTAAATGAAAATTTATTTAAATTGTAATATAAATTTACATACATAAATACACAAGCTATACATTTATATTCATATTAATGTATACATTTTTTAAAAATACTCCTCAAATGTTCAATAAAATTGTCAATCAAATAGTTTTTTTAATATATTCTACATGAAATGTTATTACATATTCAGCATGAAATATATACAAAGTATTGTGATCTAATAAATAAACATAAATAATAGTACGTTCTTTGACATCTTAGATTTAAGACTTTGGATAACCACTATCTAACAGAAATTGTGTATGAATGTGAATATTTTCTTAGAAACATCAAATGAAAGCATAACTTTAATGTCAATCACAGGCATTTTGCTTATAATAGTTTCATTCAAACCAATTTTTAATAATAGTTTAACACTCTTTTACTCTCTCTTTCTCTTTTTCTTGCAACATTTTATGATTAGATTTAGGCCCTTTTGAGGCCTAAGACTATTTTTCATACTTATATGCACATATTTCATACAAGTAAAATTCATCAGTGTTTATTTACCCTTTTTCTGCCTAAAAATGGAACTTACACACCCGGCACTTCAAAATGTACATTTTTAAAATCATTTTTAAAATAATTAACATTTTAAAAGAATACTTTCCGTACCCACTGTATATATATATATATATATAACTTTCAAAGCTTGAAAATGGCCACTTGAATAAGTATGAAATAGAATATAGATGAAGATGAGATATTCTCATCAATGTGTCACCGGTATTTGCAGTTAAATTCAGCTATTTCAGATAATGAATTTGAGGTAAATCAGGCATCGTTGTGCTCTTGTTTGTGCCACAGAAATAGCTTAGTAAATTCAAACATTGTAATTCTTATCTGTAGTGTGTATGAGTACCAAATAGCTGCTAAGCTTGTCTAAAAGACGCTAAAGAGCTCTGTAATGAATTGAGCTTGGCTAATTCTCCCACTCAGGACATACAAACACACAAATACACTTCCCTCCCCCCTTTACGGCAGTCATTAGCACCTGACATCCGTGACGGCAGCAATCAGCGTCCGTCTGCATTTTGGAGTGGTGAAAAGAGCTCTGACATCCCCCCCATTTTCACGCCTCTTAAGACTCTTTCATGGCCACAGAGGGGCTATGACATGCTTTGTTATGTAAGGTATTAGCTTAAGTGTCCCGAGGATGCACAATCAAATAATGTGTGTGTAGACAGACAGAGATGGGTGGGGTTCCAATTAGAGTCAACAAAAGGGGGAAAAAGTGAAAGAAAAACAAAAATATGCACTCATAGTTAAATAAAAAATGAATAATTTAAATAATAGTCGACAGAAATGAACAAACAAAAAGCAAGTGTAGTAATGATAATTCTACATGAGAAAATACACACGTTTGTGAGTTATTTGTTACAGAAAATATTAACATCAAATACCTGCTTGATATTGGTTGAACTGATTTTCATGTAATTTTTTATGATTTGGCAACATTGTGTGCAATCATGCTAATAAAATGTAGAAAATAGCCTATATATATATATTTTAAAAAAAGCTTCTTATATTAATGATTCTACTAAGATATTTGGTTCGGTGATGTTTATATTTATATTAATGTTTATATACATCAATATATCTTTAAAATGAATAGTACTTTACCCAAAGTCACCATGAGCCAAATTACAATTAGGATCTGACACAGACTTTCAAAGTGCTCTCATTAACTCTTATAGCAGATGTTTCTGTCTACTTCACTTCCCTTTGAACTGAACTTCTTTATGACCCATTGGATATCTCTCTCTGTCTGTCTGTCTATCTATCTATCTATCTATCTATATACACGCACATACATACATACATATAAGCTTATTAGCTGCTTTTTTTCTTTCTTTGGAAAAGAAAAAGACCATGACCACATCTTTT